TATGGTTAACTAGAAAACCAAACTGAATATCTTATCTCTACAACTATTACTCTCAATATGACATTGTCCTACTTTTGGAGCAAACATCTGAGTTGTTTGTTTCCAGCATATGTCACTTATGATAAACTAGCTTAAAGATATATGACTTTTCAGTTGCAGCATCACCTGTCTTCTTATGATTATGATTATAATTAAATATAATTTAGATTTTAAGCCAGTTTCTCTTCTTGCGCATCAGTCTTTACTCATCGTGATAAATGTGAAAAGGACATGTGGCATCGATGCAAAAGGGAAAAGTTGAGTATTCTTTACTCTGATGATATTAAGGGTTACATGATATTAATATCTAGTTATGAAAATTCAGTTGCATTCTGAAGAGATTTTCTTTTCTATTCAAATGTTTATTCATGTCATGTCTGATATGGTGACTTTGTTCCTCTGTAGCTGACAGCTTTGGCCCAGGTCTGTCCTATTAGAACAGAGCACAGAAGAGCCTGGTGGTGGCGCTGCTGATCTCTTCTTCATTCACCTGTTGAGGAGGAGAGAAGAGCCAGCTCATCTCCTGAAGCTCTAGAGGTGAGAAGTGGACACACACTGGAGGGGGCAGTTACTTCCTGTCTGCAAAATGTGTTCAGTCATCAGGTGAATCAGCAACAGACGTCACAAGTCACAAGTCACTGGACTGAATTCAAAAGGGAGAGAGAGACACACAGATTGGAGAAGTAAAGGCTAAATAATAGGACAACATTGTTTTTAATTGGGATCTGTACAATGATGAGAAGACAAAAGTAAAAGTAAAAGCCTCTAAAGCTCACCTCTGCACCCCAAATTGTGCTCAATAAAACAAAAGGACCAAAAATATGTTACTCAAAAAGTTCAAACCATTATTTGGTAACTGGTCATTTCAATAGTGATAATTTCAAGAAAATGTAGCTCATTACTATCCACCGCTGAAAAAAGTTTTATTATTCATGCTGAAAAGCTTGATACCAAACATAAAGTGATCATGACAATCCAGAAACAAAACAGTAAAGGTTAAAGCATGGTGAAAAAGATGTTGACTAAAAGTATGTCAGGGTTTCCATTAACATAAACCATAAACCATAAAATTTTTAATCAGATTTTTTGCAACTGTTCAAAGTACTTACAGAACATCATGCCTTTTTCAGTGGAAAGTGTTGATTATGTTGTCCATGGAAGACCAGAACAAGTGACCTAGTTACAAAACAAGGAAATGTGACCTCAGTCGTAATTTGGCCACTTTTCAGGGAGGGGCGCTGTCTCTTGAGTCAAACAAATAGAAAAGGAATTTTATAAATTGGTCTGTTTTATTTATTTATAAGGGAAGCCCCTTGAGATGTTTTGTTGCAACAATTTAAGCATAAAACTATTAACTCAATCAAATCAAAATTGAACAATATCTTGATTGTATGCTATGGACAAATGTTATAGCAATAGGAGCCCCAAAAATGCACAGCGACCCAATGCCTTTTTCAAGCCTCCCACACAGAGATTATGGCGCAGGAGGTGGCACCGAGCTAAGAGTTGACGTTGCTAAAATTAACCAAGAGCAGTGCCGGCCTTCCAGGATGATGTATTAATAGACAAGTGTGAAGCAGCATTCATTTGCAGGTATCATTGCTACATTATCATTACTATGAACACAAGGAGGACACACTTGTATTATTCAAGTGTTATAATAGTCTACACAGAGATATCTGTGGGATTACATAACTATAAACAAAAGTCTCAGTGTTGCTTTGGTGGTGTGCCATCATTCATAATGCTGATGTTGACAAAAGAGCAGCTACAATTCTTTGTCATTTTTTATTTTTTTTCATTGCCAGTAGATGGCAACAAAGTAAGCAAAGTAGTGCGGAGTAAGATATATTAGATAAGATTTTACTGTTATACAAATGTTTTTTACCTCAAACTATGTAAACATATTTTAATACAAAATAATAATTAAAAAAAAATATTTAAATTGCCAGTTTTCCTTTTTTTACTCACTGGTGAATTAGTAGCGCTAATCTTTAAGAGGATTACAAACCCACCCTTAAACTTGTGCACACATGCTCAGAGGCCCCGCCCCTTTCTATTACTCATACCCTGAAGTGATACAAACTTCTCTGGCCTTGACCTTAACCCAGCCCATGGGTTTGGCTTATGGTATAGTTATGATCCATCTACTCTTCACTGAGAGACTGATATGTTTTACAACAACAGGCATCATTTGACATGTGAATTAGACCACTGAAAAGTCAGGTTGTACTCTTATCAGAAAAATGTGTATGGAGACTACAATGAAAATATGTATCTTACTTCAGAGAATGAATTAGTTTAGCAAAATAAAACATTCTATGCACATACAAAGATAATCTGTTAAAAAACAAACAAACAAACAAAAAAAAAACATATAGGTGCTACATTATTCGTTGAGGTGATACAGCCCTACCTGAGTAGTTTGCTTTAATAAATACAGAGGAAGGACAAGGATTCACAACAAAGCATGTGTGTATGCTACTGAAGGCAAAGTGTGGCCCTGACTGCAATAACTCCTGATGATCTTGTGAAAAGGTACAAAGTCTTCATATTTATATGAACATGTGTATCCCAGTTACTGGTAGTACTGCAATCTTTTTATTGAGATGACAGGCACATTCATTTCAACTGACATTTCAGTTATCCCCAAAAGACTGTTGGTTCACAGTCAAAAAGATTCTTGCTACGTCACCTGTTCCCATTAGCAGTTCTAATGTGATAGTGACAGAGCATGTTTAAGCCAGTTTTAATGTCAGCCCCACAAATAGCTCTATGATTTTCCCATAATGACTGTCGGAAATCTGATATCATTATAGTGAATGGAGATCCAATACAAATGGTGAAAAATATGCCCAATTATTTGCCTCACTATTGCTCATCTACAAATATATATCTTGTAATCTCTAGATGTAGAGACTGGAGATAATATTTTGTTCTACTTGCAGATGGAGACATATTCATGGATTGTTGGATGATCTCATGTCCTCCTCCCCAGGGAGCCGGTTTCAGATGGTGTCTTAGAGTACACTTTCTGTCTAGCACCATTTGAAATCGGTGTTCTTGAGTGGGATCAGTCGTCTGGACGGCACGTACTGTGGTAACACTGCCAAAACCCGTTCAAATTTCACAATATGTTCCTGGTAGCATTTTTTCCTCCAAGAAGTTAAAATCCAAGAAATCTCTATCAGTGGATCACCCCCTAACCAAGGCTGACCGTTTTCCTCTGGTGTTCAGAGTTGCCATCATGTCTAGCACCATTTGAAATCGGTTACAATGTGGGGGGAATATCAACAGAAAGAAACAATCCCGCCATTACTGGATATCACCACTAGATGGCGCCACATACCGCCAGATACAATGCGTGATACTTTTGAGAAATGTGTTTGAACAATGACATTCACCTCTTAACTGTGAGGAAGTTGAATAGATAAAGACCCCTGCTTTTTGGGATATTAATAGTAACATAACATTCTTTTACTGTCAGGGATTCGAAGGAGAAGACAGTGAAGGCTGGCGTCAATTAAGCCTTGTGAACCTATTCTAATTGCAGGCTGTCACCTTTCTGCACCTTTTTTGACAGTGCGATTATTTTAGAGCATGTAATAGTTTAATAATGACCTGGCTGCTCCAGTCGCACTTAATTACGGAGAGCCCTGACTGAGCAAAGGGCCAGGAATTAGCATTAAGAAAGGCCAAACTGTCAGCACGGTTAGCCTTCACAGTACACATGGCTGAACCACATTAACATACTGTGAACTATAATAAATTACCCCAAAGTCTTAATTAAGATGAATTAATGAGTAACCAAAGTTAACACTCCTTAGTGGTTGTTCTCTTGTAAGCCAGCAAGTGTGGGGCAGGTGCAATCTGAAAAGAACGTACTCACTTATCTACTTGACATTATGTTGCCTTCGCAAATCTCAGTGTGTACTGATTTGGAGAGTGCTCCTCCATGTTTTAAGGGGTATTTCAGTTTGAACTTTTTGCTGTTGGTTAGTGTTGTCAGAAAACCAAGACAATTCAGCATAAGAGCCAAAACTGGCATCGAGTTCATTTTACTATAGGTCAGTATCTGGGTATCAAGTGGACATAGGCATATTACACTACTCTTTACTGTTTCTCAACTAGCTCCCATCCTTTTTTTTTTTTTTTTTTTTTTTTTTTTTTTGAGATTCTAGCATCAAGCTACGAGCTGAATGCTCAAAAGCTGCCACCTGCTTCTAGCCACAGCTAGTGAAGTAATTATAGATTTATACAAGGTCTAAACATAGGTTTTTATACATTATATCATTACACAGTCCTTCATTAGTGTTCCCCATCTGGTGTTTACGACGTAATAGTTAACATGGTTTTGAATGATGTTTGGCCTACAAAAATATGATGATATTTTCAGCTTTTTGTGATGTTTTTGCATTTTATGTTTTATTAGTGGAACTTTTCTGTAATCTTGGTCTTTGTAAATATGAATTAATTCTGAGTTGTATTGAAGATCCACTTATAATGTTTATATACCAGTGCATTTGGTGCTTGTGCCAAATCAAGACCTCTACTCAGGCTAATCAGGTTGGAATTCATTTAAATGAATGTTGTGTCAGACTTGGATGATTTGCTGTGGAACCCGCCTCATTATTTAATCATTTAGTATCAACTTATTTTTGTTTACACATTTTTGGGTAAAGAAGAAAATAAAAAGGATAAAAGTATTTGTTTGAGCAAGAATGACTTCTTGCCACATTGTGGATCAGCATTAAAAATCTGTTCAGTTACTTGCAATTCATTTGTAAACACATCCAGTTGCCATCTCAACAAAAATAAGAGTAGTTGAACTTGGTCCTTCGTCCTCAGAGTAACTGACTCACAGGGAGTGCCCACAGACTGTTGTAATCTCATCAACACATGATCGATTTTCACTTTAAAGGAGCAACAGTGACTAGCACATTCACGTATACCCACTGGAGTTTTCCTTTGACCTCAGTTTATGTTGCAGTTGAGTCATACTTGGTGATGGAATGCACAAACCAGAGGCATATGTTACCTGATTCATATCCATGAGTGGGTATGGCAGTACTCTGTTTAAGACGTCATGAGCATACGCAAACAAGGGAGTAACATTTTTGCTGCTTCGATATGTATATCTTTTTGATGAGTTTGCCAGGAAAAAGTTGCTACACTGTCTGGAAGATGGCTTAGGTCAACACGCCCAAAAATCTCATAATCTTCTTCGCTTAACATGATTAACATGTGCTCCTTTTTGTTGAATGATGTATTTCAGTTAGAACATTTTGCTGTTGGTTTGGTTGGTTTTATTTTAATACTAATTTGGAGGATGTTTTTTCATTTTAACAGGGACAGTTATCTCAATATATCACATAAACAATTAAAACAAACAAAAATAGCTCCAGATTAAGATTCTTGATTATGAAAGAACCAAGCCCAGACATAACATAATGTAACATCACTGTTGTGCAGGCCTGTTCACATGGTAAGGAGTACAATTGTTGAAAAACTACAGTCATCGCCATATAGTGCACTTACATGTTAAACATTAACTTTACTGGTGCTCAACACTGGCCCCTGTGGGAAGCATTTACACTCTGTCTGTCTAAGTATTCACATTTTCATCCACCACAGTCATGAGAACTATCAAAGGATCAAGAGGAGCTTTGAGATCATCATTACATGTTTCGTCTGGAGGTGCTTTCATTGACTCTGTGTTTGAATTCTTTAGTGAATCAAAAACAAGCTGACACAATGTGTTTTGAGTCACCCTGTAGTAATTGTTAAAACGTAAAAGGACAACATCCTTTCAATTGAAGACAGGCCAAGTTATTTTTTCCACGCTGAAGTTGATAATGTGACAAGAGCAGGAAAGATTGGAACGTCAACGGAAACAAAGCATGGCAACTATTGAAGGAAGTCATTTACACTTAATTAGGAACAGGCCTCTCAACACATGAGATGAAGTCTTCCATATGGCAGCATTTTATAAGAAAGTACTTAATCAAGATGTGCTTCAAGAAATATTATTACTACTGGTCATTTCAGAGTCAAGATTGTACTGTTAGTAATGCTGTGCTCATTGGAAAAGTTAAGAAATAGTTACATTTAGACATCAGTGTGTAATATGTTTTGGTCTCCCCCTAGCCAGTAAAACCAGTGCACACCCAGGTTTATTGGAGATTACTGGGTGTATACTGTAGATGCATATGGTGTATATCTTATGCATACTTTTTGTTTATTTAGGGATTGAAGCTTGCCACACAGGTCGGCCTTACCAAATATGATGGTTTTCTACTGTTATTATAAGAACTTCTATTTTATCTCCAACCCTGATCTTATTGTAATGCAGTCTTCTTTGAGTGTCAACATGTAGAAATTAAGGGCTACAGAAACACATTGAACAATATTTTCAGCCCTATCCAGAAAAAAAAAATCATCTGTTCAAAAGAGGCTAAATGCTAAGAATGTAATATTTGATAAGGCAAGAATTTCTGCTGCCAGGACTAAAACAAATGGAAAAAAACATATTTCTCTAACACACCCATATATACTTTCCAAACAGCACCAAAACTAAGTAAATTTCTAAAATAACAATAAAAAACTTACGCCTTTACACATACACACCAGTCATCACAGTGTTAATAAGCTTTACCATTCAGCTATATTATTTCATAGTTTTCTAAAATGCCGAACAAGCATAAAACAGGACATTCAGCCATTCAGGTCTCATAAAGCCAATCAACACCTCGAACTTACTATTATTATTATTATTATTATTATTATTATTATTATTATTATTGTTTTTTTTTTTTATCTCTTTCTGGATCACTGGGCCTCGGGGAGAACATTTCCTTCTGTCATGTGTTTCTCTCACAGGTTTGAATGACAAAATAAAGAACCTTGAACCTTGAACCTTGAACCTTGCACCTTGAACGGTCTTCCTTCAAAACAGGACACAGACAATGGAAAATGTGAGTAATCGGGACTGCATCTGTCTCAACCTCTCTAAAGATATATTTATTTTTGTCATACAATTTTTTTTTCTTTCTTTCTTTTTTTGGAATTTGAACATTTTAATATTTAGTTCTTTTATTTAAAGGGTCCATATTTCGCTATTTTCTGATCTATGTTATAATCTTATTTCCTCATCACAGACATATCTGGAGTTCTGTTTTTGTTTCAGTCATACATGTTTGACATAAAAACCTGTCATATTTAGGCTGAGTTCTTCTCTCAAATAGAAAAGACTCTGTTCCACCTTGAGATGTCATGTGGTAATACAGGAAGTGCTCCACTGTGTTTTTAAACTCCAAACACCTTCGTTGGTATTGCCAATCTTTAGTGAATTAAAGGTAAATGGTAGCTGTTAACTTGAAAGCTATCACTTCATGACATCACATGGTGGAACACATTTGGAGATGTAGACAGACTAATAAAGGGTCACTCAAACATGTGTGAATGAAACACAACACAAATCCAGGTGTGTTTTTGATGAGGTAACAACATTCTTACATGATTTAAAGCTCACAAAAGTAAAATTAGCTTTATCCTTTTCTGAAAATATGTCTTTATCATTTATTTTCCTGGCATAAAGTGTATATATTGTGCTTTGTGGTGCAGGCGTGTCAAATTTTTCTATCTATAAGCAATGTTATCATGGTCACATTTGAATTTTATCTTGAATTCTAGTTGCTTTGATGTACATAGAGCCATGGGAATTACTAAAAAGGCATTGAAGTGATGGAGAAGACGGTCTTTGTTGAGAGGGGTCAATCAAAGTGGGTGGTACACATAGCTGCAGTGTTGTCTAGGTTGTGAGAAAGGTCATCCCCTGATCAAGCCTACTGGACTGTGTGTCCATGAAACTAAGACAAGTGATAGTAGTGAGGATAAGAGCTGTTGGTGTATTTCCTGTTACTGTAAGATCCAACATAAGATGAGTCATGCAACTTGAAACTGTAAATCTGAAGTTGAAGTAAAATACATTTGTTCTACTACTATGACTATTCAACAACTATTTAGTGTTAACAGTGAGATCAACTCTTACTGGTGCTACTAGTCACTCCAGGTTACAACTTTTAAAACTATAAATGCTGTTTTTCACCAATTTAGTCAAAGGAATACACCAACTTCCCAACTTGGTTAATCATTGCTGGTAACTTTATAGGCACCTTGTTTTCCTTTTTTTTATTTATGATGTTACAGATTAAAGCAGGTATTACAATATGTTTTGCTTTTACTTACAAATATATAGCTGCACTAAGTAACTTGCTGTCTCTATGGAAACTTAGCTTTGCCTGAAATGTTAGTTTGAGAGCTATCTCCATGTAGACTAGCATACACCACCAGGCCAAGTTACAAGTCAGATTTGAGGAGAGAGAACCACTTGACTGAAAGAATGCATGTTTCTTTTAACAATACAAATGTCTCTACTACTATAATGGCAGGTATGTTTAATGCCATTCTGTGAAACAGTCATAAAAACATTTGTGTAGACAAACATGTAGAGGACTATACCAATAAAGTTACATAGTAAAACTTTAACCTTCTTTTGAATTGCCTGCTTTTATCTAATATGTTCCATACTGTTAGTGACTTTAGAAAATGCTGTACAAATCAGTATAGGCCTATAAAGCTGCCAGTAATGATTAACCAAAAGCCTTTGGCGGGAAGTCAAGTGTGTTCCTTTGATTAAGCTGCTAACCATTTAGCTCTGCACTGTAATAACCGTCTTTGTACTTGATCCTATTACCTTACCTTGGTCTGTCTGCTGCCATCACACCTCACAGTCCTCTACAGGGGAACAGAAGTTTTGAAGTGGCATGTGTGGATGCATAGGCCTTTACAAAAGGCATGGGTCACAGTTAGGCCACAACTGTGACCTACTGTTCCTAGAAATGGTAAATGGATAGTTGAAGCCACAACGACATTTGTAAATACACATTTATGCCATTATGGGCCCTGAGTTAATTAAAATGTATAAAATAAATTATTTGTTTATTGAGGCATCCTTAATTCACAACATTTTTCTCACCACAATTTCCTCCTGGTATTTTGCAAACTTTAGACCACATCTTAAATCTTCCCTTATGTCTTCCCATTGTTTAGTGAAGCATTGGCATGTTGTTTCCTCATGAAAAAAGCTTCCTATTAAATGTAGTCACTCTGTATGACCCAGACAATACAGAATAGCCAGTGAGAATGTGAAGAATGTGGCAGATATTATCGTTATGCTTTGCTGTACGGAAAGTCAATTCACCACATTGTGTGCCTCCTGAATTGGTCTTTTCATGTTGGCAGCCATTAAAAGGGCACACATCCTTTGCTTCTTAAAAGCTAAACTGTTTGTTAATATTTTGGAAGATACATTAGTTCAATGTTTAAGGGAGAGGGTTTCACTACAGTGGAATATTGTATATGTTAAATGGTATGTGTTTTTCAATATTCGCAGACACTAAGGCAGCATGCAATTTTAAATCATTATATAATACATATTTATATTATATAAGATCAAAATGCTTTGTTATTTTTGCTTCTTAATCTAACATGTCACTAACAGTGCTAGCTTTGTTCCATTTTGGAGACCATTATTTAAAAAGCAAATGAGCAGTTTTGGTGGACAATAAATTTACAGATAAAATGTTTCTTGAAAACTACATACTTCTATGCATTTCTGCATTTCTAAAAGTTCAGAGGTATTTTGTTTTGTGTGTGGATGTTATATAAAGCAGAGAAACAACAGTACAGAGCAGCTGCAATAACTTAATAAATGTAAAGGTTCCAGTTTATTATAAATAAGGTACAAACAACTATTTACAGGCGTGTTAATAAAATAGATTATTACAAAGGTGTGTGTGGTCATTACACTTCCATATATGGGCAGGCTGAAGACCTTCTGCTTCAAGTGCAAAAGTGATTGCGTGGTTAGTCTCCACCCTGGGCCCTGCTACAGTCTGTAGGCACATCCGTCCTCGGTCACAGATGCTCCTCAACAGATAGGCGCTGTTCCATTTTGTGAGCTAAAGATAACAAGTAGCTGTCAGCTTTCAGTTCTCAAGAGGAATAAAAGGCTCATTTACGGTGCATGTCATTATCAATAAATAAGAATATGGTTTCTGTTTACTGTATGGCAGAATCATTATGTAATAAATAATTAATTGCTAACAAAACTACACTGCTCGCTGCTCTGCTGCATTGTCACTGCTACTACCGCCACTACTACTAGTAGGGGTGGGCAACTTGGCACAAAATTAATACAACAACTTCAAGCCTATAGATCACATTTTTTCAGAGCAGACCAATAAGAAAAAAGTAAATGGTATTGTCCAATTGCCTAGCCCTAACAGGTACTTTGGGCAACACTAGCTAAAGTACTGTGGTTTCCTATTGTTAATAAATTGCCCAGGGGCACTTATTATATTGCTGGGTTTCTGATGACATTGTAACATTTTATAGGCCATTAATATTTAATACAGATGGAGACAGTTAAAATTAATTACAAATTACATTTGTGAATTTATCTTTTGGATATTTCTTGGCAAAATGTAAAGTTAAAACTGGCCCTTGCCTCCCATCTGAAACCACCAATATTGTGCAACATTTCAACAATATTTTCATTTATTGATGCACCTGAAATATGAAATCTTTTAAAATTTTTAGATTTGAATCAGATACACAAAACAGTAATCAAGCATAACATTATGACCACTTGACTTTAATGCATTGATGCATCCAACATCCTACAGTCCTACAGGAGGCACTCTGCAGCCAACATCTAACCATTACAAAACTACACCTCATCTTTGTGAACAAGTTGTGTTCATGTAACATCAGGACATTGTATAATGTTTTTAATTTAAAATTGCACTGGAGGGCAGGTCACAGTTCTATGGTTGGGTCAGATTGCACATTTGTTGACCTGGTCTGTGGTTGATATTTCTTTATTTCTAGGCCTAATCATGTAAGTGAAAACAGGGCACATATTTCATTGTCAGCACAAATAAACACAACAAATTAATCAATTCGTCACATTGTCTTCAAAAATTGGAAACATTATTCAGCTTTAAGTTACAAGCTTAATATAGTAGGTTTGTGGACCTGAAGAAATAATGATACAATTAAGCATTTGTAGTCAGTGAATGCACCATAGAGTAATATGATTCTACCCTCCATCTGAAATTATGTAGTCATAAAATCTAGAACATGAACACAACCTATGCCTATGAAAATCATATTTATTTTAGCATATAGTCTACTTTAGTTGTCATAATGTTATGCTTGCTTGGTGTAAAACATTAGGGTGCATTTTTGTCATGATATTAAAGCAACAGACAGAAAAGGACAGATACCTGGAGGTAGAGGCCAAACTATAGATTTTGGAACTGTAATAACTCCGGCTTCAGGTCTTCTCTGGTGTCATAAGAGCTACAGTGTCATCAAATAAGGAATATGTTTTACAATTGAGCTGCTGACATAGGTAGGTACAATACATTTTGTTTGCTTGGTTAGTAGAAGCCATTTTCTTCTTATTTTTTTCTTTTTTGTAAAAATTTTTGATTACATTATGGCACTAATTCTAATCTGCCTAAAGAGTTTTCCAGTACAGTTTTAAAGAGGATTTCCTGTAAATAAAGAATAAAACTGGCATGTTTTTCATTTTGTACTGCTCTTTTGTGTTAAATTTAGCATTATGCCACAGTTTAATAAAAGAAGTGAAAAGATATATATTATAAAAAGAAAAAACATGCAATCAGTAGTCAGATGTACACTTACCCTTTTCTCTTGTTAAGCAGCTTGTGAATAAAAAGTATTGCTATGCACGCAGCTGTAGAGTAAGGAACATTTATATTAGACTTACTTTGTTTATTATAATCAAAGTACAATCAAATACTTAACCCAAATTACCTAATGAAACACACACCACACTGATTATTACAGGCGTGTATCCTGAAAAACATGAACAGATTAAACAATCAAAGAACATATTTTTGTATCCGGCACTTTAATGAAACTCACCAACATCTTTTTTTGTATCAACTATATCATCATTTTGATCTCCTGAAAGACAAAACAAAATGTTCACACTTGTGTCAACTGTCACAGAGCTACACACAATCCAGATCCAATGTCAGACAATACAGACTAAATTAAAGCCTTGCAGTTAAAATGCTAAGTTAAGAGGGAAAGGACTTTGAAAGCAAAAGCAGTATTATAATTATGTGGCTTCAACATAAACATTTTCTAAAAAAAAAACAAAAAAAAAAAAACTGTCTTCACTTGTTTTTCAGCTTCAAACAACTGTATGGAAGTGTTCAGACAAGTTGATACTGCTTTAAATTCAGACCACACTGACTTACATCATTGCACAATTTGAGAATATCAAATATGGTGTTAAGTATCACTTTATTTAGATCCACTAAGAATAAGTCATCTGAGTCATCTCAGAGTTTATACTCAAGAGAATCTGTCAACGTCAACCACGTATATATAATAAATATAAATATAATTATTTATATTTATTATATATACGTGGTTGACCTGGCTAATACACTGTACAATATAGATATAATGCAAATGAGATACCTTGAGAATAATTTGACATAGTTGATTTTATGGTAGTTGGAGTATTGTCTGCATCTCTCAAAATATCTTCACCTTTGAATACAACAAGAATTATAGTTACAACATATTCCCTTTACGTGTGCTGTACTTTGCAGCTCAGGGTTCCCTCAAACGCATGCAGTGAGCCCATAAGTCAGTCTTATACTCCATGCTAGAGTCCATGCAGGTGCCCTGGTACCTTGTCTGAACAGAGAGACAGTTGAAGAGGCACTGGTTGTGTGCGAGCTGTCTCTGGGACCTGTGCTTGTTGTGCCTGCTGAAGTTGAAGAGGCTGAAGTTTCTGGAACATTTGGAAATAACCAGCCCTTTTCAGTTCTGTGTAAGGTGTACGTTAAACAATTGAGCAGTTGTGTTTAGGATGTAGTAGATCTATGGCTCAATATTAATTAATGTGTGGCAGGTTTCAATAAATATTGAAAATTATTCAAATAAAGCTTAAATCAAAGTAATGGTACTAAGTCTTAAACACCATTTTAATACTTTTATTTGAAGACCTTTTATTCAGTAGTGCTTTCTTTTTCAGTTATTTTTCATTATTTTTATGCCAATAGGTTGAATCAATCCTAAATCAGCTCTTGGGATTTAATTTTCTGTCATAATGCTCTTTACTGATAGATTTTTGTAGAAACCCATTCAACTAGCAATAATACCAAAATATTTTCTGTGAAAAATATACCTTGTGTTGGAGGTGTAGTGGTTGAAGTTGGTGTAGTAAATACATCCTCTTTAGTGACACCTATAAATGAAAAGATTGTGTTTGCCTCTGTATTTTTATAGAGTTGCTGTTTTAAGACATTTTCAGAGTTTGCATGCTAACCTAACGTGCAACATGACATGATAGATGTGAGTTATGGAGTGACCGTTAGTCTGATAACACAGAGGAAATATAGAAAGGAATGGACAATGAAGATTATCAGTGTTGAATGGTATCAGCAACAGACACAAGGGTAACAAATTTAAAATAATTTGCAGATAAATACAATATTAAACAATACATATTTTTTTTGCTACAGAAACGCATTGCAAGTGTCACATTATTGCAAATTAATGACAGAATACTTGTCATACCAGGTGCACGTGGGTACATATATGGATTTCCACGTATGTGTAGCACATGCTTTTGATGTAATCCAGTTAGAGATGGAAAATATACTCTAGACTTTGCTATGTTGCTGTGCAGTTCATATAAACATTTTTAGGAATTCAAATATTTGGTGTAATTATAGTGGCAGAGATTTACAACATAATGCCACTTTAATGACAAAGTCATAACCAAGAGAATTCCATTTGCCCAACTCATTAAAAGGCTTAATATATACAAAAGTAATGAAATTAAATATATAAAATATAAAAGGGACATTGTAATGTGGGATTATATAATTTCCAAAAAAACAATTTTATGTTTCATGTAATAATTATATAATTAATGATAATTACACATAAAATACATTAATGGCTACTGACACACTTAAAATATATGTGTAAATAGTGTAGACAGTCTTACCAAGACACTGAGGTGGAGCAGAATCAAATTCACCTTCTTCATTGCACATGATGGTTGTGTTCCCAGTCGGCAAGTATCCATCATCACATGAATAAAATATAGATTCTCCATATTGTGGACGTTCTGTTGAATTCCATGAATGTATGCCATTGGTTATTTCCCTGGCACATCACATTTTACAACTTTGGACGCATAAACAAAAAAGGAGGAGGATTACACAAAAGATGATAAAGACATTCTGTGTGTGTGAATTATGTTTCAGACTTCAAAAATATCTGGAGCAATTACTTTCACATTTGATGCTCCTCCCAGTCCAGCCGGAATTGAAGCACTGCTTATAAGACGGTCCCCTGACTAAGTAGCTGAAAGAAACAAGGTACTTTATTTGTTTACGTCTCTTGTACTGTGCAACATTTTTTCATTCAGTTTAGTCTGAACTGTCTCAACAATCTCAACATCCACCCAAACTTTCAGCCTACATGCGTCTATTCTCAGCTCTCCCTTATCTACCTTGTAAGGGCTTAAGAATGTATGTATACAAGGATCAAATTGCCAAATAGTGTGCTTGACAGCTGTTAGCTATTGAGCAAATAAAACACTGAATATATATTCACTTATAAGAATGAAATCATTAGTGTTCCAAAGAATGAAACTCACCCTTTCTCACATTTGACGGTTGCTAGAGCACCAAATAGGGTGCCTTCGCTTGTGTTAACAATCATGTGTGGCTGTACAGGTGGTGGTCCACAATCCTTCTCTGTCAAAATAAATAAACAAGATTTGTACATTTTTGGGGGCAAGTTTATAATAGTAATACAAACTTATTTGTTAAGCCCCACTTAGTATGTGAAGAAAGGAAAAATTAAAAAGGTACACGTGGTACAAGGTATGAAGACTTAGGTTAATTAATGCTAGTGCTAGTTTAAAAAGTTTGATTCATCACATCACGCTCTATAGGCATCCTCACTTTTGCAGATTAGATCTGGGTCACCCCATGCCCCATCAATACATTTTATGGTTGCAGACCCGCTGTCTTGAATATATCCATTGGCACATGCCAAAGTAATCACATCGTTGTCTTGGTACTCATTTATCAAAAGGGCTGCATCGCTGAGAATCATGGTTCCTTCCAACGTGGGTCTGGGACATACGCCTGCCAAAAAGATGTAGCCATGGTCAGTAAACAGTAAAGAATGAATCTGATCTGTCTTCAATATGTGAAAATAAATCATTTGAAAATAAGCCACGTATAGGATAATGTATGTTACAATATCACTTGAGCTTCCACCTGATTACATAATATGTAAAATCCAGCTAGCAACATAAAAAGTGAGAAAGCCACCAGTACTATATCCTACCAAAGGAAAGTTCAGATATTTATGCTAACATCATCAGGAATTTTCATCTCTTTGAGAGACTCAAGAGCTAGATCTAAAGTATACTACACTGTTACATTTGTAATATTGTTACGTCTGGAATGAAAGGAAACCTCAAACTTTAAAGGTGTTCTGGTGTGGGGTTTCCTACCTGCTCGTCTCTATGAATACATTCTTGCTATATGTTTTAGTGTAATGCCATGCTGTGGTACACTACAAGCAAAGGATCATCTCCATGGAGACAAGCAGGTGGGAACCCTTCGCCAGAAAAGTTACACATAGCACCTATAACAGTATTTGAGTTGAAGCCAAAAGTCGTGAATCAAAAATATCATTACGCATCTTCAAGTAAATGGCAAAGCTGTGGATAACGTGATCCTATAGAGTACAAATCGTTTAAGAATTAAGTGTCCTGGGAGCTTTATTTTAGACAAAGCGCGTGGCAGGTTACTCACCAAGTGTTCTGGCTGTAAAAAGATAAAGCAAAAATAAAGATTTGATCCGCTGTTGGGCAGGAGCGCGCAGCAACACGTCCATCGTGAAATGCAACCAAACGAGAAGTGCCACCGTCTAGCTGCAGGTCTCTGTCCGTCTGCTTCAGCTGATCCACTGAGTCAAAGCTCTGTAATGCAAGAAGGGACACCCTTCACCGAAACCTCCCACCAGACGCGCATTTGCCATTGAACTCGTGAACCACTGTCAGTTTAACCAAAGTGCGAACATCAAACAGGAAGTGGATTTACAATAAAATAACCAACTCTTCATGAAAAAACAGGACTTTTCGTCATTCATTGTCATTTTCCCCCCGTAATGCTAGGCCTATCTGTAAAACCAATAAAACCTTTTATAGTCTTATATTGGAAAATGTTTCTAGCATTCTTTGTTAGGAGGGACTACTAGCCGATATTGCTTAAGTAGGCGTGAGTAAAATCCATTGACTCTATTTTGAAAGGAGAACAGGATGCGCTCTATCGCTTCTACGGAGAGCGCATGCATGGAGTGTGGCTGAATTGGACTGGGACAATAGTGCAATCATCAATTAAATCAGATTGACGCAGCTTTGTGCGGTGTAATGTTATTTTCCTGATACTGTGTAGCTCTAAATAAAACAGCAAAACTGGTCTGGTTAGCTGAGCGCGGATTCTTCTCATGTTGGAACAAGTTGCCTGTCCTAGAATAGATTGTTTCTTGGTTGTCAAGAACATTATGGGCGTGTCATTGGAGAAGAGAAACGGGGGTTCCCTCGGAGGGGGAAGCCTTTTTTTGTTGTTGTCATGGATAATCCCTTTGTTTGCAATGAATACAAATGGACCGACGCAATAATTTACAGCACAGTGGACACATTCGTTGAAAACCACCATGGTAATAGCCTATGGCCTACTCCAGCAAGAAAATCTGTTTCCATCAGGTTTCTATGCACGTTAAACACTCATTTAGAGGGTTTGTGGGTTATGTCATCATGGATACTATGGCTAAAAAGCTGCGGCTCATTGGGTCTATGCAAAAGTGTGAATTCCAGTGCGTGTGCTCAACCACCCATTAGGCAATTACTCGAGCCAGTCTGTTGACAAGGACGGCCTGGTGTCCCCACCCTATGTTGCCTGAGATACATTACACAGAAACACAAAGGAAAGGCAAAGTTCAGGGGCCTTTGACTGGATCCTTTATCAAATTGTAAAGCTTTTTAGTGGGGGAAACGACCCAACGTCCTTTTAAGGCATTTGCTAAACTGGCATATTTTAAGACTTATTTCATGTTCAGCACTTTGGACATACTCTGCTTTTCTTATCTTCACAAACACTATGTCAGAGTGAAAGATTGATACGCCTCCCTTTCGTTAGCCCACCTATAAGAATGCATCTGGGCCTCTTCAAAGCCAAGAATAAGGAAACATGTTGCCAATAATACTCCCTTACATAATTCACCTGCCTCTTATAGACACGTTGTGGAATGATAAACCAATGACCCGAAACAAATGAAAGTGTCTACAAATATAATGTAAAGTAATTCTTAACACTAGAGGTCCAGATTCGTTGCACTTTTTTGAGGCACTTTTTCACTTAGCTTAGCTTAGTTAAAGTAGAATTGTCAAGGTCAGCTGGGATTTTTCCTCCATAAGGCCCCTAATGAAAAACACTTCGCTGGAAAGATAAATAGCAGCAATACAGCATGCTGCATATAGGAGCATTTAGAATTAGTTACAATAGTGAACACTGACATCTAGTGGTGGGTAAGGGAAGCTTTATCACGATTCAAAAGTAAATAAATAGAATATTGTATAATACCAATAAATTATATACATGGCCCCCTGTTGTGTTGAACATGCACGAACAATGAAATATCTGGATGTTTACATGTGAATGTAATCAAATAGCCTCAGAATTAATTTAAAGAAATGTTAAAAGTTGTGGTGGAATGTGGTGATCATAACTGTCAGATCTATCATATCAGATCTATCATATCTACGTTAGACTATTTTTTATCAACAATTTACACTGCCAAATCATACAGCAAAATATGAGGACGAATGTGATTGGAGTTAAAAAGAACAGTGTGATCCAGTTTCTCACTTGGGCTGTAATAATCATGGTTATGACTTAATGTGCATTTTCATAGACCCAGTGCTAACATGCTGCAAGAAGATATTGGAAAAACATCTACTTGAAGCACAAAGCACTCAGTTTGCTCTGTGGTAAGAAGCTCTTGGGTGCCATGACAACTGGAAATCTGCCAGAGAAACAGTGGCTTATGCCGGTTTTGCCATGGCCAGCTTGAGACTGTGGAGAGGACGTTCTCTGTCTTCAAGACAATTGTTTTTTGGGTGCAAGATACTTGCAATAACTTTAACTTTCATTAAAAAAAAATTAACATAGCAAAACACTGCAAAAAGTTTCAGTGACAACATAAATACTATTAGTATTAACTGCTATGGGTGATTACATAAAATGCAATCCATGCAATACTGTATATTGTGTTGAATTGCATGGACATACTGCATCAGTAAAGAAGTTTGAGTACACCAAGTTCGAGACATGTTTTCAGTAAAACTTTATTTTCAGTGCATGAGCAGAACACCATGTCAAGGTCGTAGCCAATCCATTTCTATCCATGATAAATACTCTTTTTTACATAAAAAAATAATGGAGCATTTTATTATTATACGTCTATTTTTTCTCCCTCTGCACTCAGCGACTATTTATAAAGGTGCTGTACAATGTACAAAGATTTACATCTACCAGCCCTACATGTAGAAGATACAATGAGGATTGTTTTCTAATGACGTGATGCAAGGCCACATTATGATGCAGAGAGGGGAAACAAAAGGTCCAGAACTAAAGAGCAGAAGCACAGAGGGCAGGGGATGGAGAGAGAAATGACAAACTGTATGTACCTGATAAGAGGAGTAGGATTTATCAAGTTATCAATCCAGACTATTGCACAAACTGACCCCTGCTTGCTACGCTCTTCACTTTACATTACTGAGAGCCTGAACCATGATTAAACCAAGCATTTTCATCAAACAGCTGCTGCTCACCTCCCTGATCACATGTTGCTACTTTGTGTTCCCTGAGCACTAAACACACACAAGTCTCAATCTCAAACAAGTCCCTTTCTTACCATCAGTGTACATCAATGTTCCATTAGCATAAACTATACACTCTAACAGTTTCATCTTAACAGGGACCTGGGCACACTTTCATATACAGACAAGCCAAAACTCATCAACATAAAAATCTGTAATAAACTTAAACAATGAAGCTGTAGATATAAACTGTAAAGTTAAAAAGAAAAAGCATATGTTAATAGCAAGTCACAAATAAAATACAGCTTTCATTTTCACATCTCATTGCCATTCTTTTATGCTACTAGGGCAGATGCAGTGCAATGGAGTTCAATAGATAGTTTAAAAGTTAGAATCTGTAAAACATGACACATTCAAATATATAATAATGTATATATTAAATTCCACAATGAGACACGTTTTGAGCAGTTGCAAACAATTTGGTACAGCAGTTCATGAACTACAAAGATCCAAGGTTATTCCTACCACTTGAATACATTGGATGGTGCAATCTCATGGGGTTAGGACAAATCTTTGAGTCTATATAAAAATGCGGAATGGCTTGGTACAGCTACATGTACATATATATTAATCTATATAATCTCAATAAATTACACACAGATTTGCTATTATACACACGGTAAACAAGATCTCTAACCACAAGTTTCTGGTCTTTTAAATGATGCTGTTACAACAGAACAGTCTAGCGTCCAATGAAATTAATGTTTGCTGGGTTGTCTTGTGCTGAAAAATGAGAAGTTAAAAGCAGTAAAAAGAACAGGAATCGACTGCATGCATTTGGGCAAACATTTGAGAAAAGCTGTCCCTCAAAGAGACAAGAGTTCAAAAAGTAAACCAATATGAGACCGTTGTCAATGGGCAGCAAGTCTTGAGTTGCATATGGGTCTTTGCATTGTAATGGGTGACGCGCAGTTGGCACATATTCACATTTCGTATAAGGTTTTCTCTGGCGTTGCCCGTAACACACCCCAAAATCCCACATGTGAGGCAGTAGACATGGCAGAAGGACGCTGCTACATGCCACGGTAACTCTGAAAAATATAGTGGAAACTGACTATCGAAGTGGCACCATCATGCACTCCTCTGCTTTATGGAAGAACTCTGAAATAAAAACGGGCTAATATTATTCCATGGCACAGCTCGAGTCACAGACCGGGATTCAATATTCACAAAGGGTCACGGAGGACCTCGGCTTCAGAGAGGATTTTGGCTGAGCTTGGCACTTTCCAAGGGCCAGGGCTAATAGGTCCCTTTGGGCTCTGTGGGGTCCCTGGAACAGAGGCGACGGAGAGCTCCTGACTGCCCTCTTTGAAATGAGAGGCGCCTCTCTCTTTGGACTCACTGGGAGAATCTACAGACTTTTTTCCTTTTAATAAATCCTTAAAAGACGATGGTGATTCTCTTTTGATTTCTTTCCTGATGCTATTTCCCTCAGACGTTTTCATCTTACCATCTCTGAGCCCTGAGTCTGTTCTGTTATCTCTGTCCCTGTGTTTGTTCACGTTTGGAGCTGTCCTGTGATGATGCGTCACTCCCCCAACCCTCCTTTTGAAACTCTCCTGCTTGTGGCCTGCCATTGTCCTTTCTCCTCCTCCTTTCCCTTCCATCTCTCGGGCTAATCCTCTGATCGCCAGGTTTCCATTTCTCTTTTCAAAATCTAAGCTCTCTTTACTGGAAAACTCCTTTAATCCCTTAGTTTGTTGAAGATCATGATGCAGTGGGGTTAGTGCTCCCTGCTGTTTGCCTGGAGGCGATGTCTTCTTGATGTTTGCAGTTTTCGTCCTGGTCGGGGATGTGTTTTTTCTGATTGGTGCCACCTCTTGCACATTTGTTGTGTTTTTAGGTCTGGGATGTTGCTCTTTGGCTTTGGGTGTATCCACAGTTTTCTTTGGGCTGGTTAGTTTACTAGCATCCTTTCCTGGCCTGGCCCTGGAATAAAATGGGACTTGCTCAGAGCTACGGGGGGACAGTGGTTCTGCCTCATTGTCTGCCCACTCACTCGCCTCATCCACAGAAGTCAGAGTCCTGGGGTTGCTAATGCGCGAGTTGCTAATGCCTGGCACAGAAACATTGGTGCTCCAGCTGCGGGAATGCTTGAGTTTGCCGGAGAGATGGGAGGAAGCATAGACGGAAGCCCCGGAAGTGGAATATGGAGAAGACAAGGGTGACGAGTCGGAGAAGAACACCTCTCCTTCAGAGTAGCTGAGAGGAGGTGAAATGACTTTTGGATCACGCGGACCTGCAGGAAAAAAAAAGCACATTTACATTTTATAGCCAAATTAGTATAAGTTCAATTCGTGACTCTACACTGATCAACCGTAACATTGTGACCACTCCTAGTGTGTGTGAAGTGTTGTGACCCTTCAACTAATATGGAGCTGCAAAGTGTGTTGCATTGGTTAACTGGGACAAGTTTATAAGGTATAACTTAAGTTTTGTCACACCACATAGATGCACTCATGATGACCCTGCCAAGATAAATAAATACCCCATAAAACCTGCTCTGACTTGCTCTGACTAGGGCTAAGTAACATGACAAAAACCAAATAGTGATCTGATCCATGTGACGGCTATACTGATGTAATTGTCATACTGTATTCTGTTACCTAACCAGCCAGAACCACATGCTTTGACACTTTACAAAGACGAGCTTTATGCCCCGATTTCAGAGGGTGTGATTGACAGGTGGATTAGCCAGTCACAGAGACACATGCTCTGGACATATCAAAAACATGGTAGTTTACATGTAAAAAAGGAGGAAAAAAAACAACATAAAAGCCTGATTCTTTTACTTTTTTTCTTATATATTTTGTTCTTTTGGAGATTTTGGAGAGGAGGTCTCTTCTGCATTTGAGAGGCATGTATTTCAAATTAGCAGTTGGGGTTGGATTGTCTCAAATTTGGACCAAGTGTTTTCACTCTTTATGATCTAGTTCCAGATCCTTCTAGATTCGATCAGAATGTAGAAAGTACTGGCTGGGTAGTCATTCAGTGCTTTTCTGCTGTGCAGCCCTCAAACAGGTGCTTTTTCTCTCCTTTTGGCCAGCATCTGTTATGCTCTAAGTGAGTGACAGGTACATTTAACCAATCACAGTGTGTAAGTCAGTTCCTCAGTGTTGCGCACATGGATCTATGGCTACGCCAGGATGTAAACAAGCGCATCATGTGAGTCTGGGGGTGCGTTCAAGGGCCGTACGGCGTCACAAACATAGACAAATTACTTTGCAAATAAATATTGATGCGGTGCCACATATTAAGACATTTGTCTGTCTGTAAATTGGATTTAATGGACATAACATAGTCAGTCTAAGCTTTATAACGTAGTATAAGATGCCCATGTGGACTATCGGCCCATATCAGCTAGATTTAGGCCGATAGCCAATATGTCTCCAAGTGACCACCCAAAGCTCAAACTAAATTATTAAGCCAATCGCATACTTTTAAAAACCTGTATATGTATGTGTTATGTAAAACAGTATGGTTATAAAGTGGTTATTTAGTGTTACTGGTCAGAATGTTATGGCTGATGAAGAGTTAAGTAGGAAGGAAAAGAAACCCAGAATTACCACGTTAAAGAGAAGAGGCCAGTGAAAGCAGTGAGGATGTTAGTGTTGGTGCTCAGTGTAGTAGCACACAGTAGAAGAAGAGCTACCTGCAATCGGCCAAAACAAGGAACAAGAAAACCCAAAATACACCATTAGTCATTTAGTTTAGTTCAGCAAGACACAACAATTATAACTATACAATCAATTTTAAACGCCACTTATAATTATGTTTTGTGTGGCCAAAACAGATCTACAGCAAAACAGGAATTCTTCCAGTCCATATTGGTGGATAACTGAGATTAAATTTTGGATATCTGAGATTAAATTTAGAGACATTTAAATATTTTGTTTCTCGACAGACAAACCTGTTGGTACATAAATCTATTTGATTTGTGCTTTCTTTTGAATACCAGAATTCACTGAACTGTCAGGCTGTGTTTGCCATACTTACTGCTGTCTTGAGCCAGGCCTGCTCTGGGTCTCAGCAGCAGAACCACTTTGTTCCCTCCAGACTGGATCAGCTCTATCGCTCGAGTGTGAGAGATGCCCCGCGCCGGCTCTCCGTTGATCTCCACTATCTCATCTCCAACCTGTGGGAGAACGAAGAAAAGGCTGTCATGGAAAAGGAAGCAGCTACTTTCTACAGAGCACATAGAGTCACATATTCTCTCGTAATGCTAGAGGTTAAACAACAAAACAGCAGAGATTCTCAAATATTTGGCTTTCCTGCCACCAAATCTAAATCAGGTCAAAAACTGGATTATTCTAGGTCTAAACTAGAAGACCTAGAATAATCCAAGCAAAACAGGGTCTGAAACAGAACTACACTAGTTTGAAACAAGGACTTGCAAGGAGCATAATGTATTGAAATAAATGAACTAAACTGAGCTAATCTTTGGAGTTCACAATCAGTAATTTGAATGTTTGTGAATAACTTCCACCAGTAATCTCTTGGCATATTCTAAGTATTATTGACTGAACCAACTAAAAAATAAAGTGTCTAAACCTGCCATTCTCCTGAGCTCTAATTATAGTTGACGTCTTCTGCTCTGTGGCTGGGCAATGTCATACACCAATATCACAGTCTGCCAAACCTAAGACTGTTCCTGCTAGAGGCCACTTCCCTGCTGCGTCTCTGCATCATCAGCCTCTCCATGCTAATAATAATTACAAATATAGCTGCAAGTGGCAATAAGCTCTCACTCGTGCCTAAGAGGTGCCCCACCCATGCCGCACCCCGTCTACACCCGCTTCTATGCTGTAACCCATAACCTAACTCTACCCTAACCTTTACCCTATCCTAATCCTTAATCTAACTCTAACCTGACTCTACCCATAACCTCTAGCCATACCCTAACCCATATCCTAACCCCTAACCTAACCTCTAACACCTAGCCCCTAACCCCTAACCTATCCCTTCATTTATGTAATGTGTTGATTTTTTATTTAAATCCAAGATAACAGACTTCTGGGGCCTCATTTATAAAGCTTGCTACGCACTAAGCATTGTGTAGATGCCCTCTACGCCAACCACGTGATTTACACAACTGTTCCTAAGAGCAGTGCTTTGCTCATCTCTACGGCAGCTAGAACCCTGCCGTACGCCCTCCGCAAAGTCTGGAGACACAGGGAAAAAGCAACACTTGTGAAGAGGAGCAGAAGCGAAGAGAGTTTGAGGAAGTGTTTGATCCAGGAATCATCAGAAAATGCATGTATATAAATAAAAAGTTAGCAAAACGCGGACAAAAGCGGTTTATTCCACAAATGATTCTCTATATTAATATTATACATTTGAAAACGCGCCGTAACCATAGATTTCTATAAGCCACAGTCGGTGAGAAAACTCTTCCCTCGGACACAGGAGCGAGGCTTTGGTTTAACAAAGCGCTGGGATTAAACACTCCAACACTTTAAGTTCGGTCTTTACGCATGAGTCTGCGCACGACACAAAGCCTACTGGCCGAACCTGACCCAAACCCAAAATATTTTCTGCATTTCTGTGTAACGTGGAGCTCTTGCAAATGGGAGCTTGCTCGGGCTCTCTCTGGATAGATAGATAAAGGGTACAATAATGGCTTTGCCCGTCCCAACCCAGGCCCGAACACTCATAGTGGTAAAACCCGGGCCTGCGCCCTAGAGACGTGACGAAAAATAATATTTTAATTAAATTCGGGCGGGTAGCGGTTTAACTACTCAAATAAAATAAAAAAAAAATAAAAAAAATATATATGTATATATGTATATGTGTATATATATATATATATATATATATATATATATATATATATATATATATATATATATATATATATATATATATATATATATA